CTTACGGATCAACGTTTCAAAACACCAGAAAAAAATATGCCTTTACATCAAAATCCCAGCCTTCGTAAAAATATAGTTAATATACCTACTAAAATTAAGTTGTACATTTCATTCACCTAGTCAAAACCTAGAAATAAATAATTGTAAAACTTACATTCACAACATACTTTAATTTTATTTAAAAATACCTATACAATATTTTTTTTAAATAAAAATAAATATATATTTGCAAAATCTTACGATTTTGTATACAGTTTAATATTTAAAAAAGAATCTTATTGTTGTCATAGTATGAGCTCACGGCACATGACATAAAAATTCTGACAGTAGATTGTAATAACACATAAGTACATGTATTATCATAACAAGAAAATTAATTTTATTTAGATAATAAATTACTCGTTTTAATTTATTAGAAAAGTCAAAAGACACACCGATATTTTTACATTAAAATATACTGTCTTATCCTAAAAATACCCAATAACTTTTAGTTTGTATATTTATAAGTTATAACCCATTATAACTTATACACAATTGCGTTTTTTATATAATTTTCAGTTGAAATAAAAAAAAATTAAAAAAAAAAAAAAAATATAGTTTTGAATATTTCTTATCTTTATAGTTAAACAACTATAAAGCATTTAAATACTTTACATATACGCTTCTTTGAATAAATAAATGAAAAAGTTCTAATCATACATAGAAGATGTTTAAATCTGTTTTCAATTTTCAATTCACATCATTGGAGATTGGAGCGATCGGAATCATAGAATAAAAATTGATTTGCAAAGAGAGATTGAATCAACAATCAACATTGAAATATTATTTATTTGTTCGTAACATTTTTTTTTTTTTTTTATCTTTAATTGTACACAACATATTAATTATTAAGTAATGTCCATCAACGCGTCGTGAAAATTTGTAATGCGTGCAAGAACAAGTGGATCTTCGATAGAATTTCACATACTAATGATCACTTATTGGCTATTGCCACTAATCGAATAAATCGTATTAACCGTATATAAAATATAACGTCGATTGTAATTAAATATTATGACTGCCGCGGTAACTGAAAATTGAGTGAGGAAAGGAAAAATATGAAGATATGAACTATTGTGATTTAGCCATATAAATATGTGGCAGTTTAGTGTTTATCGTGGTAATAACATTAATAAGTTAAAGTTAGTTTATATACCGCGCTCTAGCAGCCATACACTGGCATTAGCTTTCTCACCATTATTCATTGGTTATAACTTATAACTTATAATAATTATTGCAATTAGAGCGCTATGTCCTTACCAATTCGTCATAAAATTACTACTATATCTTTTTAGTAGAGTTGTGTAAAATTTTATAATTTTCGGCTTTTATTTATTTATTTTCATTTTTGTTTTAATTATTTAATAGTTAATACTATTTATTATTGTTGTAATTATTACGAAACTTATTATTAGTTATTATTAAATATTATTCATATTATAATATTGTTAAATTATTGTAAAAAGCTAACCAACCACCCTAATCCCTTAATATCAGCACTAAACTCTGACACCATTCCTGGCAATCCTCCGCGTAGATTAAAGAGAAGATGGTGTCGTGATCTAAACCAAAATTAATAAAGAGGAAAAAAAAATAATTTTAATAAAAAAAAACTATAAATTAAACTAACTTCTGTTATAAAGTGTTGCTATTGGGTGGCTTCTTTTTTCACGCGTCGCATGTCAATTCAATGTACATCAGCATACATGCTTATTGTAAATTTAAATTACAGATTGTATGTTTTAAAATAAAGTTAAAAAAAAAAAAATATTATAATTATTATTAAAATATGATTAAAAAAAGAACATATCTAATTCTTTCTTCTATTGATACATATTTGTTTTATTTATAATATTTTTGGATTTGTTCCGAATAAAATACAATTTACAATCGTAAAGCTTAAAATACAATGCCAGTTATTATTTTTAATATGTGTTTTTTTTTTTAATTATCAACTATGTTGATTCAAATAAAATAATCGAAAATTATCCGAGTAACTTTTTTTGAAATTTAATGAATTTAAATAATTTAGACTAACAATTTTTATTCGAATAATTTTCAACTATAATTATTCGAATAAAATATTATCTAAATAATCATCTAGATAAAATTTCATTCGAACAACGCCCTATACTCTGCTATTTATTAAGTACTGTGTTACTGAGTTGTTTACATTCTTGAGAATGGTTGCGTTTCATAGACTTTTTTATCCGTGGAACCTTTTTTGATGTCCACTTTTATCATGGAACCTTTATTTTTTTTTTAGCTTTTTAGCTTTTTTTAGGATTATTTACAATACATTTAAAGTAACAATGTCTAAAAGCCTAAAAGTATTTAATTAAAAAAATACGTTAAAATAAAAATAAAAATAATAATAATACTTAAATTACTTTAATTAGACTAAATTTTAATTTTAATGAGATAAATGAAATTGCTTTTTATTGCACAAATATTCTTAATATTGGGTTTAATTGAAGAAAATTGTACAAACATTTTTTTCTCCACTAGCCACTACTAATTTTTAGTTAGATATTTAAAATTAAAAGTTATTTTCTTAGAAATTTTGAAAAAATTACTTAAGCTCTACGGAACCCTAGTGTTCCGCTAAACACAATTTAAGAAACGCTGTATATTACATTATAATTTATCTATTCACGAATTATTTTCATCATGACGATAAAAAAAAATACACATTATATATTAAGTATCTTTAGGGCCAGTTTAATGATAAGGCTACTCAGGCGGTCGTCTAGGGTGCATTTTCAGGGGGGCACCGAATTTGCTTTTTACAATTTTATTAATTTTTGTTTTAAGTATAAAATACCTGTAACTTTGTACTGAAATATTAATAATTTTCATGATTATTCTGTTTAGCCATATTAAAATAATATAAGTATATTTTAAGTAAATTTACTATGGTTTAGCATAGAATATTTATCGTATAAGTTGCTTTACAAATATAAAAATTCCCGAATATATATTATTGTTAATTTCTTGTTTCGACATAAGTTCACGAAAAAAAAATTTTAAGTAATATTTATTTGTACATCATACATAATTTATAAAATATACATGTTTTGTTAATAAGAGAAGGTCCATATTAAGAAAAGGGTACAAAAATATTGTAGGCATTTCTTGAAATTCAGGTCTGCACACAATATAGACATGGGGTGTAAGATTTTTTTTTTTTGGGGGGGGGAGGACTGTATAGCCTTCTTAGGGGTAGACATGTACTGACTCGTGGAGGGCTTCGTTTGCATTTTGGGGGAGGGCTATTTTCCAAACTTAAAAGTATTAAGTCCCCATGAATAATTTTTTTTTAAATTTGAAGATCATATAAATTGTTTATTACAAAACAATTATTGTAAATTGTAAATTATTGTGATTTTGATGAATTTTGACTTTCAGTGCACATAATAAAAATTGTGCCTATGATGTATTTTTTATATTTTAAATAGATGTAAGAACAATTTAAGTGGAATCTTGAATTAAATAATCAATATTTTTGACCCAACTATAATTTTTTATGGACATTTATAGAAAAAAACTTAAAAAAAATTTAAAATTAAAATTATTTTTAAATAAGGCAAACATAATTAAAATGCTTAGAAAATTACACTATGTGTAGACGTAGAGTAAATGTTAATATTAACAGTTGGTGTACAATTCCAAGTATCTACAGTTATTATTATACGTATTCTCGAATTAAAATAAAATATCAAAAATCGTTTGAGAAATAGTTATTAAGTACTTATTATACTGTTGAAAATTTAATGTCGTAAAATTTGAACTTTTGTAGTCGTAAAAAGATAACGTTAATTCCAGAAGAAAATTTTTTTGTTATATGAAAAAAAAAACTAATGAGAAATATTTTATTATTAATACATAAATCAAAATGTAATCTACCTAAGAAGTGGAGTCCTGTAGAGTTTTGAAGTTCTTTAGCATTATTCCGTGATTCGTGTAGGACGTAAGTCATAATGTCATATTGTATCATTATACTATTATTATTATTATTGTTGTTAATTCATTAGGTGCTCAAAATTGGTTTCTTTGTCCATTTTTTTTTAATTTTCTAAACCTTTGAATTTTTCAGTTTTCTAAAAAGTATTATTTTTATATTCTTCAATTTGACCATATTTTCCGAGACTCTAGGGAAAACATGAATTTTTTTAGAAATGCGTGTCGGATTTTTGATCTCTATAACATTACATTACATATTTATACGAGTTAGAAAGCAATTTTCGGGGTTGATGCACCATCATTGTGCAACTGTTTAACTGTATGCTTTTTTATTAGATGTTTAAAAACGTATGTTGCTGCTGTGGTAATGCTATGTACACATTTGCATTTCAAAATTATCCAGCAATAAATACTTACTTTATTTCGTAAATAATAGTGTACACCCTTCAAACACGTGTAAAAATAAAACCGATGACTATGCAGTGGAAACGTTACACTAGCATTCTTAATGACCAATATACATTATTTATTTAAATTAAAAAACCATGTGAAAAACGATTTTTCCACATGTCCGTATTGCTAAAACGTATAGTAAATGTTTATTTATTACGATTACATATTTAATGATGTTATCATTAAATATATATATATCAGGAGTGGCCAACATGAATAGGTTCGCGAGCCACATAGTTAAATAAAATGATACCAAGAGCCAAAATGTTAATATTTTTTAATCATTTAATATATTTTTTATATGTTAATACCTAAAAATTAAAATTTATAATAATAATAAGTACATTTTCATTGTATAAATAAGACTCTAGCCGCATCTGATAATGACGAGAGCCACATATGGCTCGCGAGCCGCAAGTTGGTCACCTATGATATATATAATAATTATGTGATATGTGCCAATCTATTTTCTTTAAAATTTTAATAACAAATAAATATTTTAACTCCTTGTGGGTACGACGTAGCCAGATAACGAAGATAATGGATATTATAATATACATATAGTTTTGTAGGTTTTAATTTACCATTAAACTGAATATTGGATACAAAAGAAATACATTGGTAAAATATATAAAAATTATAAAAATGTAATAATATTTTAGACAAATATTTGCGTCGATTTAATTTGTATAGGCAGATTTCACAATTCATTATTCAGTGTGTTTCGTGTTCTGAGCAACACTTTTTGTATGCAATTCCAATGCTGCAGTTTTGCATTCTTCTTCTAAGACACCGGCAAAAACTTCAAATCGATGGTTTATTCCTTTGAGGAGATGTATATTGACCGATCCACCTAAGCCTCCAGACCCATTGTCATTCGCACAACCATAAAATACCCTTTTAATTCTGCTATGCACCAATGCCATCGCACACATCACACATGGTTCTTTGGTTACATATACATCGTATCCTGTGCATAAATATGGCCCAGTCTTGTCATCAGTAGTAGAGACACTAGATGTTTTAGCCAAAGTAGACGAAGAGTTCCATGCACCGCCTCCTTGAACGTTGGCCACTTTATCCACCACACACATGATGGCGTGCTTTACAGGGTGTTCGACACGGAAATCACCACTTTGCGCAACAATTAGATCATTCGAGGGATCGACTACAACCGCACCTACTCCACCAACTGCACATGACAACGCCGTCTTCATGTATCGGTCAATAGTGACAAGTTGAAGTTGATTAAAGTATTCACCACTCAATATTGACTCCAGTCGTTTGTCTGGATGAAAATTGCATGGCCACAACTTACGAGCTTGTAGGTTCTGGCTACAGGTTTTAGGCATGTACGCCGGGACTGGTACAATCTTAGGTCGGCCTGATAGGCCATCAAAATCAAATCCTTTGTTTTTCAACTCTGCCACACACTGATCTGGATTTAAATCGTTGGCTAACATTAATATGATCATTTGATTATTAACGCGTTTTAGATGAGTCAAAGAATTTATAACAGACAATTGTCCAAGGCTTTTGACGATTTTGCTAGTGGAGGTTCGATTAATAATAGAGTCAACAAACACATTTACTGTGATAATACTGTCAGTCGTTACATTATCTGGCAATACTGGTCTCAAAGTCCAAGTCACTGGAAGTCTAGATCGCTTTGGTTCCATTTTAATGAGTCTGTAACAAATTTTTATTGTATGAAAAATATTTAGCATAATATTTTTAATTCAAATTATGGTAAAATAAAAATAAATGGCTTAAAAGTTCAATTTTTCAATGTATTTTTGTAATTTTTAAAATTTGAAAAAAGTGATTTCCTAGGTATAATTATTATTTATTAGCAATAAATTAAAATTAATAAATGATATAGATAAGTAACTGCTGTTTGAAAAGATTTAATGAATAGAAATATTATACAATGATTAAATTAAATACATAGTTAATGAAAAAATATTTTCTTTATAAAAATCCTTGTATAAGTAATATTTATTTAATATGACAATTTGATTGACAATAATCTAAAGACATGTTTATTGAAATATTATTTCATAGAATATGACCAATTTTGATTCAAAAACAGGTAAAAATGCAAAACGTCTCAATTAGTTCAGCAATAGCACTAAAATTGCAAAATATACATAATACAATTTTTATTTTGAGTTCTCTGTATCATAAAACACATATCTAGTTCACTTTGCTATTTCTTAAGCATCTCATAAGAAATATGCAAATGTAAAAGTCTCAACCCTGATGATATTTTAAGATTTTTTATAAAATAGTTTCAATTAAAATTTTATTTTTGTGATATGATAAATTATATTATTTGCAAAGTTGAAAAAAAAATTGAAATTATACTTCATAGACTAGAATGGTATACATTTAACACATATACATAATTAATCAAAAGAAGAAAAAAATTCAATATTTATACAAAAATATTTTTATTTTATGCAATACACAAAACACAATACACATAATTACATATTTAATAAATATTCAAAATATAGGATAGTGATAATATTATAATAATCACAGTTTATTTCATAAATTATTTTTATAAACACAATTAGAAGAAATATTAAATAAATATCAAAAATCATAAAAAAATGTTTGAGTAATAGATAACAGATTTTAATAAGTTCTAACTATGAAAATAGTACATAACCTAGTCACAAAGTGATTCACTGTCTAAGAAGTTTTATTTTGAAATTATAAATTATAATATTTTATAATTTTATTAGTATTTTCGTATATTTTATTTCATAGAAAACTAAACTAAATTCATAATATTTATAAATTATAAGTAATAACTAATAAATAATAATTAATGTTTTCTATTTTCAGTCTTTTGTCTTTAAACATCAAATCGATGGCATGCAGAAAATCCTTCTTCATCATATTCTTCTTTAGTCACCACAAGCGAAAAAAATTCTGGATCTTTACTAAGTAAATTTCCTCCATGCCAAGCATATGTAATGGGACTGTAAATTTAAAAGGAAATTTATACATTTTACTTTTAATAAAATTTATAACTTAATATACTTTTCAGGAACAGTCACTGAAACATCAAATTCATCAGGAGCAAGAGCTCGCACTTCTTTAGTAAGACGTTCTTGAAAACCAGGAAAACAACCATTACCACCAGTAACAATGATGTTGTTGTATAGATGAGATCTAGTCTCTTCTGGACACAAGTTAATACTAAGAACAATTGCTTCTGATATGCCCATTTGTGGTATTCCAATATCATTTGGATGTAATAAGATTTCTGGTATTGTAAAACGTTCATTGTTCATTCGTAAAACTTGCTAATGTTATAAATGATAACAAATAATTATAAACCAAATATTTACTTGTAAAAACTACATTATAATTTTTAATTACCTGATCTTTATCTATAGTTCTGCTCACAGAAGTTTCGTCTAATGTTCTTATAAGTCCTCTATTCACAGTTGTATAATCTGGTAAAATATAATCTCTGACAATAGTATTTTTAGGCCATTTCATTTTTGCAATTTTATGATCTCGATCAAAATCTGTAGACATAAAACACAAGTCTTCTTTGCACTGATTCATCACGTATGTTTCTTCCATAACATGTAATTGTCGGTATGATATCACTTCTTTCAAATGATTAGTTAGAATTTTGCCACCAACATTGACACGTAATATTCCAGGCTTGAATTTCTTTTTTAAAATGTAAGGAACAATATGTGTAAAACTATAGCCAGATTCAACAACTAAGCAACACTTTACATTTGGCTTGTTGTAGTGATAATTGTAACAAGATAGATTTCCGGCTAAAAAAACCATGTTAATTTACTTATATGTTAAAAAGTGGAATAAAGGCATTTAATTACCATTAGTTCTTAATAAAGCTTGAAACTCATATTCTTCAAAGAACATTTCTGTCATTCCTTCTTGAATAGAACTAAAATTGAAGTATGGTTCAGTCACAATAAGTGGCATTTCACAAAAGTTGGCTTTGCAACAATCTTTACTAAATATATAATCCCATACTGTTTTCTGAATATCCCAGTTTAACAAGTAACCCTAGAAATGTAATAGCTTAAATTACTATCAAACGCATGATGTATTAAACTCAAATACATTATTAGTATAGTGAGTAAACATTCAACGAAAACATAGAGTGCTATTAACGTTTTACCTTTTGAAAGCCCAACATAAAATATAATCCTGATTTGTCTCGGCACTCAGAAAGTTGATCACCGATGAATGTCCTCCGCCGCTCGCTCTTGGCCTTCATAATGTAATTGGGTATGATCCTGAAAACAATAATGTTAATTATATGGGTACCTTACTTATGTTTAACAATATTGACATGAGCGTTCACATAATCTGATGCTCGCGGTGACTTACTTGGGTGCATCGTCGTCTGTGTGACCGACTTTAGCAGTGTATGCACCGTTGTCTAAAATGTAACATTTCTTGGACATCGCTTATGAGATCGTAACTAAAATCCGTCAACGAAACTGCTGAATTAACGTTTTAGCCGTAACGTCGTCAACCCACTGACAGTTGCGGTAAATTATTACGGTCACATTATCACGGATTGGGTGAATCACGCGGGACGTGAGTGATAACAGCAAGCAGTGCCGTTGTTGTCATCAGTACTCAAAGTGCGCGTCACTACGGAATTGGTTCTCAAACAGCGGAGAAAAAAAATACCGCGCGAAAACATGCATAAATCTATAATATTATTGTTTTTGTAAATATTACATTGATATAATAATAATTACTGGGAAAATAAAACGTTACCGCAAAAATTCATTGCATATAATATAAATGTTGAAAACTTCGTGTTAATTATGAACGGATAACTGAAAAGTCTATACGGAGTGCGCGCGATAGTAATGCAATATTAAAAGGCACGGGGTGGAAACGACAATAATCAATACCGTACAAGTTGCGGGGCGGTCGTTCGTGTGTGTGTCAATATGTGTGCGTGTGCGCGCCCGTAGAGAAATCGTAATTTTTCTGATGCCCGCGATGAGATAATAATATTATGTATGCATTATTATAAAACAATAATCCAACGAAGACACAGAAACCGACTGCGATCTTTGTGTAATACACACGCATGTATATTGTACGCAAAAGCAATGGCTGATTCTGAGTTCGAAGAATTCAGGCAAATATTCGAATCGCTACCCCAACATCTGCGGGCGTCTGCACAGACTTATACGTAAGTGAGAACATCACTATTTTTTTTTTTTTTAAAAGGCACCTACATAATTATATTGATAGAATTGTTTGTTTTGTAGTTATACTAATATTTAGGGTACATATGTATTACCTGTACGAATTCCACAGATGCATGATCTAGCATATTATTATATTTTTAGATATATCTAATATTTCGCCATATACTCGTGGAGTTCAGTTGCATACTCGGGATAGATAGGGGGTGAAGAGGTTATGTATCGCTATGCCTACCAGCCTGCTCAAATATAGATTTATAAAACATAAATATCTTTTCTGAACAAATCTTTAATATAAAGATGGTTAAATAGTCTACACCCTACAACCGTAGTCTAGTTAAACACTTATGTATTGTAAATAATGTGTAAGTATTTTAAATAAATATAAATATAATACGTAATATCGTAAAAGCATTTTACTTTTTATGATATAATATTTAATTTTGAGAGATATCCATTATTCAATAAATTATATTAATCTACGTTAATAGGACGGTTTTCTAATGATAAAATTGACCATCATTAATAGTTATCAGCACCAAGCATGGGACGTGGTATGTATTTTGATAGGATTTTATTTATGGAGTAAGATACCCTTGTTTGTAGTCAGTGCGGTGACCCATAAGTGGAACATGAATGACTTAAAAGTACTAAGTCTCTAATATTAAACTAAGTATTGTAAACACAACTTCAAATTTCTATTACAAAAATAATTTTTAACTAATTATTAGTTATCCTTATTCCGTTTTTTAAAATCAAAAATGTCATTAATTTATCAAAATTAATAAGTAACCGTATATATTTGAATTTTTTTTGTAAATAATTGACGTGCATTTATTAAGTTGAAAAAAATATTTTAAAGCGTCATTTAATTTTTAGATAATACTGCCATAGTTACAATTTTCTTTTAAACCTACTTATACTTAATTTCCATGTCAATGTATACGTTTTTGTTTTTGACAATAAGAAAAAAAAATCTAGTAGAAAATTAGGGCAGCAGAAGGCGTGTGGCCTGATACGGTTGCAACGTTTCTAGTACTACTTATATGTAGAGATTCGAAGCGGGAGCTTATGAAGGCTTAGTCCTTTATATTTTTAAGTATGTTTTCTTAGTATATAGTTTATATGTATCAATATTTTTTTTAGTTTCAAGACATACATAGTTTCGAGTTGCTTATATTAATTCAATTTTAATAACTTATTATTGAATAATATTTTAGGTACCTAAAACTTATATTTTAGAACTATCCATGCAGGTATATTATAAAACCACGCAGACATAAATGTACTAACAGTAAATTAAATTAAAGATTTATTTTGGACTTTAATAAATTACTAAAAAAGTATTAAGTGTTTCAAATAAAAATGTTTGCATTTGTACATTTTTTGGGGTATAGGATCAAGCCTCAAATATTCTTCATGCTATAGAACATTAAAGTTCCTCCTCTAATATTTAGGATAGGGTAAAATCATGTCCAATAACATTGCTTATCATTTCGTAAACCATTTTTATTTATAATAATGATATTTGAAAAGTATTTATATTTTATTTTAGATAAAACATTATCTTTATTGAAAATATAGTTACATTAAATGCGTTATAAAGACATAAAGTAGGTTTTTATAATTTATAAATAATAAATCTTAAATGTACTATATCTATAAATAATACTATACTGTATAAATAATACTGTAAATATTACTGTACTATATCTATGTATTTTTAATCATTTATTCATGTATTAATGGATTACAGAAAAATATGAAATAAGTACTTACATTGTTATAGAGTATGGAAAAAGTATTAATGAGTATAAAAAATAAATTAATAATTATTAATTTTTTTTTAACTACCTACAATCATGATTTGTACAATAATTACTCATCTTCATAAACAATGGTTTAAGTATAGATTACCTTAAAATTCATCATAGCTAAATCCGAAATGTAGATAAAAAGTGCTCATAATAGGTAGTAATGTATTTTTTAAGTTTTTGAATTTTAATTTACCACTTATTATTGCTGTATACATTAAATCCGTTATCAAGATATAATTAAAATTTAAGATAATTCATAAGTATATTCATAGGCCGTACCTATGATGTGAAAGAAAGAGTTAGGGGATTATAAATCTTCCTCTGAAATTTTCTCACATTACACTAACTTAAAAATTTAACATCCGTTTTTTATTATTAATATAGTATTGTAGCTCAAACATTTGTAATATAGGGCCATAAGAGCATGGTATGGAGTGGTGTTTGGATGTAGTCACTGATTGGTACTAATGGCCATAGTAATTTATCATTTTATAATTTAATTAAAAGAAAGTTTTACTAATCATAAACAAATTATATCATCTTTGTATTTATAACGTACAACCAAATAGATGTATAAATTTATCGATAAACATAAGTAATTTTAATTTGTGTTCAGATTTTTTGGATTTAGATTCACTAATCACTAGTGATATCTAACCGAATCAAATTTTTTGAAAACAAAGTGGTCAGATAAATCCATACTAGAACGGTCTACCGAAGTACTTGAAGCAAATTCTAACTGTAATATTGAAATAGCCGACATTTTATTTTTATTAAAAGTTTTGATTACTTTACTCGTCCTGCAAGAATACATTTTCTTCTCTAAGAAGAGTGAAGAACTATTTGCGAAACACTACCGTTGAGGCGCTGAAGAAAAAATAACAGGTTTAGCATTACTTAGTGTACATAGAAATATTCGCATGTTCATGTCGATCCTAAGGAAATAATCAACCGTTCTTCTAAAGAAAAAAAATAGAAATTTAGAATTTGACGGTAAAATTAAATATTATTTTATATTATGTATTATGCATATTTATGTATTTATTAACAAACCTTATTAATTTATGTATGGGTGCTTAAAATATATTTGTTTAATTGCTTCAAAACATTTTTAAATTGTTTGTTATTTTATACACCACTTACTAAGATTTGTATACCCCCTCACCACCGAAAATTTGTTCTGGGTACGGCCATGTTCATAAAGTTGATTAGGTATTAAAAGAATTAGTCATGTTTTAAAATAGGTATACATTAGAAAAAAAAACTTAAATTTGTGTGTCAGAACAATAATTCAATTCGACAAATTACAAAGAAATCTTTTATAAGTTTTTGGATACAAAGTTTTTCTAGTATTTAAACTTCATTTATTTATAAATTGCTTTATATATATACTAAATGGTGTTTGTTGATAAACGCATAACTTGAAAACAAATGAACCGATTGGGCAATTTTTTTTTAAATGTTCGTTATAGTCTGGATAAGATTTTATGAAAAAAAAAATTAGAAAATTAGTATGTCAAATTAAAAAATATGGCTAAAACTGAAAGTTTGTTTTCAATAGGATTTCTGTATGAAATAGCGACCATATGCGTGTATAACGTTGCAGCAAGTAACATATGACTTAAAACCATTATAGTTTATGTGATTTTTTTGTGTTTGAATTAACTAATATGAATGGATGTATGATAAACCATTTTAGAAATGACTTAGTACGCTTTTTACAAGTACATTTTTATTATGTAATATGACCCTAATACGTTAATACAAACATATATGATAAGAAGATACATATATGAATAAATTATACGGGAGTTTCCTATTTTCGCCAAAATAATATTATCCGTTTCCTCCAATTATTATTTGGGAATCATGCACAAATGTTTCATATTTTTATCGTATGAAAATATTCTTATCATTATAAATTATAATACAAGTAATTAATAATAATTAATTATTCGAATATAGGCATAGTTAAATTAGAGTTTTTAAATATTATACAATCACATAACACATATTTCGATATTTTATGCATACCATAACATATATTGCTTAAAAATTAAAACCATTGGTTTTTAAAGTTTTTTTTGGCGAAAACGGGAATTATATCTTTTTTCGTTTTTTGTGGAAAAAGGGCTATGCGTAAATCAGGGAACCGGTTTTTTGGTGGAAATGGGCCATGTCCTAATTATACATCGTGTTACAGTCTCACAGATTATAAATGCAATAGTTTTGGCTTCTGTACACAAATTTCATAAAAATCAGTAATTGTAAGTCAAAAAAGTGGATAACCGCACAATATTAAAGTATACATCAATTAACTAATTTTTTTTTTGTGGGAACGTATATATATATTTTGTGTACAGGGGTTAGTCCAATAGCATGTTTCTCTACTTTTTCTTTCAACTATAACGTTACCTATTTAATTCTTGCATTTTGTAGATTGAATACGTTTTTTTAATTTTGTAAATAAGTTTTTTTTTTTTTTTTAATATTGGGAATATGGTAAAATGCTCAATAAATGAATAGAATATTATTGACACAGTTAGAATAAAACATGTATGCACTTCATTACTGAGATAGATGACGTAATTACAAGTAAAAAATTAAATAATTACGTTTTGGACTATATTATTCCTTTGTAGATAAATATGGGCCCTGGGTCATTATAAGACCGTATATTATGCGGACATTGTTAGTGGACGTATATATGTAAATAAATTATTTAATGCTACATGATAGTATGACATAGACAAAAGACAATTCTTATTAATTATTATTGTATTTATGTATATTTGACTCAATATTTGTAATCTATTATGTCCATTCAAAATTTACATCACGATCTTGCAACAATGCTTATTATTGTCTAGGGCCTAGATTCTAGGTTGTACCTATATACAAAGAACTTTTTAAAGGTAAATACTATTTTTTTCGATAAGAATTAATGATATTTCTATCACATAGTTTGAAGTTCTTACAAAACAATATAAAAAAAAAATTAAGTTTTTTCTTACTTTTTTAAATAGGTAACATTAAACATTTTTAATTTAATTTTTCAAAATAGAATAGTTTTTTTAAGAGTAGTTATAATAAGTTATAATAATTTGAAATAAATATATCTAATACAGTATACCTAGATGAGGTGAGCTGCAGAAATATATCTATTATCTACACACCAGAAGTTTTTTGTCTACCGTTTACTATTTACTCGTCAAAACTTTAAATACTTACAACAGTTATAAATATTATATTATTATTAATAAATTATTTTTAATCTATTATTTTTATGTTTTATAGAAATTATCAAAAAATTATTGTGCTATATAATATAAAATTAAAAGTTTAAGTGTTTTTGTTTTTAAAAAAATTTAATTTTTTTAAAAAAAGTCATTTATGTAATTTTAAATTATCTCAAATTAATATAATATATATATATATATACACATAACTTAATTTAACTTTGAAAAAATGAGTGTTTGTAAAATGTAAACATTTCAAATTCGGTCCTTTCTTTTTTATAAACACAAATGGCATTAGCTAGTTAAATATTTTAAATTAAATTTAAAAAGATTATTCTGTTTTAAAATAAATAGTTAATTAATTTTATAACTAAGTTAAGAACTCAATTAGTTAATTGTTAAATTTACTGTTGAAATAATTTTGTTTTTTAGTTTTTTTTTTTAAAAAATAATCAATACATATAAAATTAAAATTTTTAGTTTCAATAGTTATATTAAATTAAAGCTTGCAATACACAGTTTTAAATACAAATTGTCTAATGACTTTCTGTTCTTTTTTATGATAAGATAATATTAAATATAGTTAAAATTAAAGACACAAAAATACAATATTTTCTGTATCTAATCAATGTAATAATTAAAAAGTAGATTAACTTTTTAAAATCAAATTTAAATATAATGAGATAAATGTATTATCTATTAACTATTACCTACTAACTTAATGATCTTCTGTTTAACTTGAGTTAATTGTTTTTATTAATTAACCCACATTTGTTTATGAAGGCCTAAATATTTAATATATATCTTTGCATATTTACACATTTACACATTTTAAACAAATGCAGTGACACATATTTTTATTTATTTAGATTTAATACCTGCACTAAAAAAAACATACACAAGTTATGTAGTAAAGAATGCTACGAATACAAATGGAATAGATGGTCAGCATATATAGTGTGCTTTTCTAACTAAATACAGCCCTCGTGTACATTTTAGGCGTTATTTTTTTTTGCATGAATCAAAACCAGTTCCATAGAATTGTTGTAAATCAAAAATTTTTTTAACTTAAAATTCACACATAAAAAAAATGATTTAATATAATAAAAAATATTACTACATTTAAGTATAGTATTGTTTGATATTCTTCTCGATTTGTCAATGAAATTCGATAATTTTAGTATTATCATAGTTTCAGCAGTAATCATTTGCGCAAACCTTGTTTTCACACTACATACGAGTCAGGAATGCATTAAAGGTTAATATATGGGGGGGGGGGGCAAAATTATTTTGCGCCATTGGTATATTTTGTGAATATTCTTATGAAAATATGAACAACTTAAAAAAAATTGTCCTTGTTATGCTTGGTATTTTAGTTAGTCATTTCCATTTCATACAAATATTATAACTACGTAAACATTTTCTTTTTATACTAATTAGTAATCATCTATTTGGAACAATGATTCTTTTTTTAATAGCACTGGAAGATCGAAGATGAAATATTTATATTTCAGTAACTAATAAATAGTAAGTTACATAAAAAATAAATATACAAAAAATTTACCACCCATAAAATACTTCCGTCCAGGGCAAATGCTCCTTTTGCCCCTCCTCCTTTAACGCGCCCATGTAACGATTGGGTAATATATTCTTAAAAACACATAATTGGTCCTTTTTTAAAACGTGATATTTTATATACTGTTTTTAAAATTAATAAGATATACATTAGTTCAACAACTGTATTTTAATTACTATTCTACACTTACTCTTTAAGTAAAGCAATTCACTTCCTCATTCTTTGTCGTGCCTAAATGTTTAATTAAAACATTTTTGTTTCGTAAGCAATTAGGCTTGTGTGCTTAATAATTATGTACAATTGATAAAAACTATTAGTCGGTATATTGGTAATGCAAGTTGCAACGTGTAATAACATATTTATCAGACTATCATAAAAAATGTCATCTTCGATAAGTATTCAATTATATTAACTTGGTACCTGACAACCAACTACCTATCAAATAAAGTATAATAATCGAGGTAGGTATGCATGTTAATCAAAATATATTTTTTGAAGGTCAAGGGAATAGAAAATCTTATTCTCCAATAGATTTACTTATTAATATTTATTATTTTTAAACATAATAATAAACGTAAACAACAACTTAGATGCAATAAATTGATGAGGAAGTTATTACTATTAATGACAGCTTACTGTTGTTTGCTACAAGGACGTGTATGTATGAACTTGAGTAGGCACCTACCTAATAAATTATTACATACGATAAATATTCTCATGACAAGCAGTAATTAAATTTGCTTGATTTTAAAAGTCTTGAAATGTAATAATAAAGTCTTTATTTTCGTATAAAAAATTATCATTTTATAAGTGAGATATAAATTAAATCAGTACAACGGTTTGATAATATCTATGTATCAACAGCCCACATATAAAGTATTATTTAATTGATTAAATATTGAAATGTATACCTACACTTCTTATGTGGCTTGACATAACACACAGTATTAAATATATTTAATATATTATTTAACATTCAAGGTTTTGATTTTATAAAAATAGATTGTATAAAATAAACGAAAATTTTATCTAAAAACTATATTAATATAAATAAATGTTATTGAATCAAATATTCTTATTTAAAAAAAAATGTGCTAAAAATAATGCAATATTTGAATGTGTTATCTTCGTCTATAAATGCACAACATAGATGCATTTAGTATTATTAATAATCAATATTTTATCTCACTATAATATTAAAATTAAAAGCTGTACTACACAACACATGGTTTTGCTGAATTAAAATTGCTATATTGAACGTTTATAAGACGGTGATAACACATATATTATGCGGATGTGATTTCGTTTTAATTTTAATGTCTATTGTCTAACAATCAAATTAATTGTCAATAGTTGGTGCATATAGGAGTAATAGCAGCGCGAGATATTTTACTTGATGAATTCCGTTAAAATTCTGTTAACCCAATTACCAACCCAGAAAATTAAAGAGTAGCTTATAGAAATGAGCTTCCTTTTTTCCAATTTACATTTATGAATATCTAAATTATTCATTACTCCATACCATTATCCTAGTAACCATCCATTTATAGATATGAGTCCCGGGATTCAAAAAACTACTTTTTTAATTTAGGAAATATAAAAAATCTATTTAGTGTAAATTTTTTTAAATTAAAGATATTATTAATTTAAAATTATATGAAAATAATAAATTTTTCTACAATTCCACAGCTCTTTAATAATAATAATTTACTTATCCAAAATGTATATGTAAATATTGAAAAAAAATAGTAATACATTAATACATGTTATCTAACAAATTAAATATAAATTCTTAGACATAAATATATTTTAATACATATCCTTTAGGGAGATTAGCCCCTCTCTCAATTTGTGTATGTGTGTATAGGTATCAACTTATTTAAAATTATTTTAGTTTAAATGTTGTATGGTCTATTATACCACTAATAATATTTGTCTATTTTAGTCTAGTCCACGATGTATTATCAGACGAAGAGTCAACGACTGAAAGTAAAATCAATAAAAATGTTGACAACAATGCTTTTAATGTGTTTTCTATCTCAGACGACGATCAAAATGAGCTAAAGAACAAGTAAGACATTATTTAAAGAATATAATATACCACTAGGAATAAATATAAATAAGGTATTAACAATAAAAATATCTACCTGTTACAGTCAAATTGTACGTTTAAGACATGAAAAAAAAAGAAGAAAATTACCCGAATTACCAAAAAATAGAAGTAAGATTTATCTTTATTTCTAATAGCAAACCAAATGTCTTATTTAAAGAAAGCAATAAGTCGTTACTCGTTAATACTCAAAAAAGTTCAAAGTTCTCAATTTTTAGTAATATTATAAAAAGATTATTAATGGTTATAATTTTTAGAGTACGATAAAAATAAGTTTTTAATTAATTATATTAATTACGAACAATAAAAAATATTGATTTCAATTGAAGGGGCATTGGATTATTAGATTAAATTATCAATTAGCTAACGTAAAAAATTTGTTAACATCAACACTAAGGTGGTTCGGTGTTAAGCTTGGCTGATGAATTAGGAGAAGTATTTTCATCAGACAGAAGGAAATCATTCGTATCGGGAGTGCGAGATTTCGAATGTCGATCTCCAGACTCGGGTATATCATTAGTTCATTCACCCGAGAGAGCCAAATCTAGTTCACCACAACAAATTGGTAATGTACCCACTATCATTAACATGTAAAACATGTACCTATATGTCATGTAACATGTTACTACGCTCGCGACTCATCGGAATGAAATTTTATTTTGAAAATTATTTATGCGCAGACACTCCGACTCCAGCGTCTTCATGTTCATCAGGTCTTCCACTATCTCAATTAGAGCTATTAGAGGCCACACATAGAGGACTGTATAAGTTCGTTCCTAGGCACCGTGACGAAATGGAAGTGGATATTGGTGATCCGATTTACGTGCAAAAAGAAGCTGAAGACTGTTGGTGCGAAGGTATTTACATTACTGTTTGCTAACGCCAATGTTAATGTCACTACAATATCATAATACTATTGTTTATACACGTTGACGGGTTTTCAGGAGTTAATTTGCGGACTGGTGCTCAAGGAGCGTTCCCGTCTGCGTACGCAGTAGACGTCGAATATACGGATTTCGATTCTGCGACACCCAAGGTGAAACGAGAACGGTTTCTTTTGGGGTACATGGGTTCGGTGGAGACAATGTGGCATAAAGGCAATTCCGTATTATGTCAAGCCATACGTAAGATAACCGAAAGGCCCAATTGCAAACCACAATCGTGCATACTTGAGGTATCGGACCAAGGACTTCGAATGGTCGATCGTGCTAAATCTTCTACAACGGTAAGTGCTGCATTGTTTAGTATATTATTTATATGCAAATACTTAAGTACATATAAGTAGAGGCACAAATATACATATAATTTTTTTCACAGGGGGCAAATTTTGAAACTCACCAGCCGACACTTATCCATCATGATTATCATTACTTAATCATTATAAGTTTACTATACAATCAAGCCCGGATTTATGGGGGGGGGGGGTGATAGGGGAGGCATGGTCCCGGGGCCCACTGATTTTGGCGGCCCATCTTTATCTCCAATATTAATATATATTTTTAATGTATATAAAAAAATTAAAAAAAAATTATTTTAGTGGGTACAGTAGATAATTAATAATTATAAAATAAAAATGTTCTTAATTGTGTATTATGAAAAATTATTAAATGATAATAAACATTAAATTGTTATTTTAATAATTGATAGCATAGAAGTGGTAATAATTGATATTAGGTATTAATCTATTCGCATGAGGTGCCCATTTATAATAAAAATAATTGTTCGGTCAAAAGAACATTTCCCAAATTAACAAGAATAAAAATTAATATAGAACAAACCAGACTAAGAAAAATTTAACATCATAGATGATATACTCAGAAAATTATATTTTGCGATTGATCGATTTCAATGAAACTATTCAACAATTTACAAAAGAAAAACCTAAGAAAAAAATTTAAATTATTATTCTTTTTAACAAATACAGTATATTTTATAAATAGTTATATATATAATATGTGTATAATAAATTACTACCTACATAACTGTTAATTTATATAGCCTAATAAATATATTTTTTGTGCTAACAAAATTATACAATAATAATATATAGTTTATAAAATGTAGTAATACAATTTTTTTAAAGTTAAAGTTAAAAGGGGGTCTACTAAATTTATGATGTTCTGGGGCCCAATATCGATCCGGGCTTGTATACAATACTATATTTACAATATTGAATATACCTAATTATATAAGTATGTATAATCTTTATCGGCTACTAGAACCCATCATATACACACATACCTATCACTATTTTTTTTTGGCAGAGGGGGGGGGGGGGGGGGGGTTAAAAGTGCCCTTAGCACTGGTTATTTACGCCACTGTGCAAATGCAAAACATTGGATGGACTAATTTTGAATATTTAACTATGTAATAATTAATGCCTTTTTAGTAATAGCTGATGGTGATACTTTTAAAATATAAAACATATATTTTACACATAAGTGTAGGTACTTCCTACTTATAATATACAATCGTAGGTATGTATTTTATCCACGAATTTGTTTATAGATATTTAACAATAACATTGTATACATATCTATAAATCATTTTTACTGATAAACTATTATTTAACTGATGGTAAACAACGATAATTTTATTTTTGAATACTTATTTAAACTATTATGCCTTTATAAATACCTATTTTAATTTTTAATTTAGCAGACTAGAGATTCGAGTACATCGTGCCAAGATTATTTTTACTCTTTAAAAAACGTATCGTTTTGTGCGTTCTACCCGGATGATAACCGATACATGGGGTTCGTTACTAAACATCCGACATGTCAAAGGTTTGCATGTCACGTATTTAAAGCAAACGAATCGTCGAGACCAGTGGCGGAAGCGATCGGGTAAAGGATTTCACACATATTTTATTCGTTCAGAAATAATAAAAATATAAACACTCTATTCGTTTTCTTAGACGTGCTTTCCAAAGATTCTATCAGAAATACATAGAGACAGCATATCCAGTAGAAGACATATACATCGAATGAATGGAAGAAAATACCATGGTCGTCGTGTAACGTTTATTAAGATACGTGCGGATGACTCTGTGATATTTATAGATGGACAGAATTGTTTGAAAATTAAGAACGATAAAAATGAATCCTCGTTAAATATTGTGGTGCAGCAGCGTTCTTATGAAACAAGTTTAACATGTGATAACATACCAAATATCTAATGTATTTCATTTAAAACTAGATCAGTATTATCTGTTTTGCTCCTTTTAAATGTTCCCAAATATGACCACACTTAATATATAGTCCCCACAACAAGTTCTAAATAATCTCATTAGGAATAAGGATGATATATTATATTGTACCTAAATGATTATGATATTTTTATCAATTCATTTGTTAATATTGAATGTTTAAATGGAATATTTCCTAGCTTTAAATACAAATCAAAATATAATTTTGTTTAAAAAAGTTTAAGTTTTTAGCCGTTTATTTTATTTATTAATAAAATGTATCTATTAAGTGTATTAAATGATTTATAAAATATTGCATCAAGCAATTATACATGTAGCGACACATTTAAAAGAGAATATTATTTTGCGCCCCTGAGTATAAAGCAATATTCTAATAATCATTTAATAATAAACAGGTAAAAAAAAATATGAGGTAATTTAAATTGTATGCAATATTATTATGTATGATAAGAATAAGAAAACTGATTATATCCTACAAGTAGTGATACTGGATTTAATATACATAACATCTGTATATCATTCTAAATACAGGTGGTTTTATACTTATTAGTTTAAGAAAATTTCTCTAAACTAAACATAATAATTTAATTACATTTTAAATTGGCATTTAGATAAATACATGATTTTTATATGGATATTAAATAGCATAGTTTTAAACATTCAAAACATAAGGATATAATATAAAATTATATTAGTCAAATAATTGACAGTAGGATTTAAAGAAAAATACACATATATATATTACTTAGATTTTTTTTTTTTTTTTTGTAAAATAAGGATGTACATATTTAATTACAGTTTAATATAAAACTTCAAAATTAAAATACGATCAAAAATGAGTTAATATCACAGAATTTCTTCACCAACTCAAAATACAATTGTTTAACTAGTTTAATTAGTTATTGAATTATTTTCTTTCTGGCCTCATTTGACTTCTAGGTCCACTTTTTCCATTGTTACCTTTGAATGAATTTGGTTTCATATTTTGTTTTCCTACACCTGTCCGTCTTGCATTGCTTATTGTATTTCCATTGGCTCCTGGAGATGATTGTGGTGGAGGTGCATTTAGGTTTACTTCACTCATATTAATAGATTCATTAAATGTCATGATAAAATCACCGATTTTTTCAATTTCTCCATTCTTACCCACATACAGAGTAAGACAGTTTCTAAAATAAATTGCATAAGCTCTGTGAACACGAATAATGTCACCTGGATATAAAAATGAACCAGGTTCATCCCAGACTGAAAAATTGATGCATGCTGAACTATCGGCTACTTTCACTGTTCGAACTTCATGGTTATCTTTGAGCTGTACAGCAGGATTTACTTCTAATACTATGCACATAACAGTAATGTTGTTTACATTATTTTGAATGTCTTTAATCAATGTCAAAGGAGTATCTGGATTAATGGGTTTTGGTTTAGTTATATTCATCATTTTTGTATAGGTAGCTATTTCTTTTTTTTTTTTAAATTATTTTTAAATTCAATTAGGTACTTCTAAGCTATTAATAAGCTAGATTTTACCTAATTAGTTATTGGGTATGTTGTGTCTGAAACAATTAAAAGCAAAACAATAAAAATTAAAACAAAAAATAAAAAAACTGTTTAACTTCACTTTAAATTCAATTTAAGTATAAAATATTTAACTTCTTAATATAACGATTAAATTGTAAGAAAATAAAAACTTCACTTTATAAATTAATAAAAAGTAACAGATTTAATGAAAAATTAAGAAAATACAAACTTCATAATTAAATGATAATATACACTTTATTAATAAACATAAACACTGAGTATTAATAATCCAACTTTAATATTACTTCTTAATAAAATTATTTCTATAGATATTTAAATTTAATTTTTGTAAATTTCCATATTCTGCAAGACTATTGTCTATTAAAGCATTAAATTAACATTTTTTTTTTTTTGTGAATAATAGGTTATGTATCTTTTAAGAGTACATATTATGTGTTAGTAGTTTGACAGTAGTTCAGTAAAATACTTTGAAGAACATGTCTGTTATAGAGGAAAATCTAGAGGCTAATTTTTGGGGATTAAATTAGCTTATGCATAAGTAACATACTATTCTAATAACTTAATATGACTAGTTCAAAGACTAGACATTTCTAACAAGTATTTTTTTTTATTAAATTAACTAAAAGGTTCTCAATTAAAAACTTAATTTTAATAAATATACACTTATGAAGTTAGGAAATATTAATACTTACTATAAATATAATTATAGGTACCAAGGGGTCTGATTTAACATTTTAATTAATTTTTATAAAAATAGATTTTTATAAAACTTATTTGAGCACTTTATTTATAGAATCCGCAAAAATATATAGGCATTATATTAAGGTACTAGTTTAAAATAAAAATTAAAAATAATTATAAAATGTGTACCTATAAATTTTTTATAATTTTCAAAATCAAATTGCTTAGTGATAAACAACCAACGATTATAAATGTTTAAAATTAATAAACACTGTTTTTAATTAACTTTTGATAAATTACAATTAGATTGTCAATAGTAGTTTAATTTTTAAATTGGATTTATATGTTAAACTAAACTTCTACGAAAAACTGTTACGACAAAAGCATATTAGTTCATGGCGGTCAAATTAATAAAACTATTTGATAATCGCTGTCACTTACCAAAACCAGAGGAATTTAAGGCACTTGTGTACCTGGAACATTATCCGGATCTTGAATGTTTTGAAACCGTCATAGCATCGCGTGTTTGTTGACAATCGAAATTGTGTTAAGACTTAAAGCATTCTAAAAGCGGTTGGAATTAAAAATAGATAATTAAATAAATAAAAACATGAGAGGCTAAATCCAACCTCATTACTTCATTAGATTTTTTTTTAAACATCACTCCACGATAAGACGACGGTATTGTGATCGCGTTGATAATAGCCAGTGGGGCCATGTTGGCTAAACCGCTGAACGCGTAACTTCTATCAGTTGGATGTCTTAGCCCGTGATAGCAGTACAGCAGAACGTGCACTGGCCGCCTGATAGCAATATTATTATTCTAAATAATAATATTATTTAAAATGTTGTTCTTGGTACCTAATACCTATTCACTTGTAGAGTAATGAGAATTGTTGCTAACGAGTAACCACTAACGTTATTACTATTTATTAGTTAACTACGTTTTACCTTTTATTTCCCGGTGATTTTGTCAGTTTTTCTGTTTGGTTTCAGTCTCTTAAGTCTTAATTTCTTGCTTGGAACGTACAAAAACCCATATAAAGTTCGAAAATTTTGGTTGAAAAATAAATATATTTTATTATTTTGAATAAAAACTATAGTAAATTGCTTTAATGAATATAGTGAATCACAAAATTTCAAAAGTCGAAATGGGATCAAAACCATGTTTAGAGAATAAAATAATATAGTACAAGGTATGTTGTTTTGTTGTAAATAGGATTTTGTTTCATGTTGCCTCTCATATCAAATTAAATTTAATAGATATAAATAAATAAACCAAACAAACTATTACATTTTTCACTTTTGTTTTCATATAGGACCAATGCATTTTATTAGAATGGTTCCTAAATTGCCGTTAGACATAATAGTACCCCAATATGCACTGCGCAGACGAGGAGCAATATGTGTTTCAGCTATTGTACGTAACTTATACGAGGTAAGGATGACATATAATTATTGTTGTAATGTATAAATTAGTTTTGTACATTTTTATAATATTTTATTAATCTATATTAATTTTTAAGCATAATGCTTACTATTTAGCTGTAATATATCTATTGAGGTTAATAGTTTAACTATTGTCAGGTATAGCAATATGAATACCTTTAGTCTATCATGAACTGATTCAAATTTTTTCCTTGCTTATGTTATAGTAACTCATTTAACTATACTATTTGAGCTGTTAAGAAAATTTAATTACTAATAAAGTCGGCAGTATGCTACTTAAAACTAGTTATATATTTATGCCATTTATCTTTGTATCAGTACCCCTACTATATGTCTTTATGTCACTATAATGTTTAAAAATATGATGTATCATAATTGATTAGGTACTTTTTAATAAAATTATTATTTAAATCAAAACTAACTATTTTTCTAATCTTAAAAATTATTAGGAGAAATTTAATTAATACCATTTACTATATTTTAATAGATATTTAATTTTAGTGATACAATTGTATTTACATTTACTTATTTGCAACTGATTCTTTTAAGTACAATTTTTGCTTATCTGGGATGTAATTTAAGTCAATAGGTTACATATTGATTGAAAGTGAGTCTATTTACTGATAAGAAATTAGATCTAAATATAAAGCAAAATATTAAATTATTAATATATTTACATACTCTTTTTATATTTATAAAAAGTTGTTTTTTTTTACAAGTGGCTAGTTAAGTATAAAATATTATTTTGAATCTTAGTTATAAAGTTAAATAGGTACCTACTTATCTTAATCTAATCTGCTATTATGATAATAAAATATTCATTAAGCTGCTTGACCTTTCTCATCAACAGATATGTTAAAAGGTAACTCTTATTATTCTGATAAATATTAGGTATGGTATTGTGTAATATTTCAAAGAATATTCACTTAATTTAAAATTAATAGATGATAACTTCCCAACACAAGGCTTTGGGTTAGTTTATGTTGTAATTGTATACTTGTGTCATTTATCTAAATGGAAACATAAAATCTGTGTATTTATTTTTTACTAGCTGAATTACCCGGCTTCGCCCATGTGTAGTTTGTGCTTAATTTTACTTAATCTTATCAAGTGCTAAATTGTAGTAGTTGCTAAATTATAAATAAAACAAAAAAATAATGATCACTTGTAGGAGTATTTGGTACAACTCAGCGAAAAAAAATTGGAAAAATGTATAATAGTGTCGTCACAAAATGGAAACAATCAAAATACAATCCTTCCCACTCGGCCACTCCCCTCCCCTACGGTAAATAAAATTAAAAATCGGGCGACGTGATGACACTTAGAAAGGTATTTTGAATAACTGTGAAAACAAATTAGAAAAATGTTAAATAGTGTCGTCACAAAACGAGATCATAAAAAAGGGCGCTGTTGTTTTATATATACATTATAAATAAGTGTTGAATAGTTTAGCTAGAAATATCTTTTGGTGATGGATATCAAATGATAAACTTTATCTTATTAAGAAATAAGAACCAATTAAAAAATAATATGTATAGTACTGATAATACACCGATTTGGTTAAAAAACATCAAATTTTTTCAAGATACATTTTTGTTTTTGAAATTTGAAATATAAAAAATACATTTTTAATGACTTGCTAAAAATTTAAGATTATGAAAAACGATTTTAAGTGAAATTTTCAGCATATATTTTTAAAGATATTTTATTATATATAGGTACCGAAATTTATAAAATTAATTTTTTTAAATACATTTTAAAATAAAACGATAAAAATTGAATAAATTGAATAAAATTTTGCTGTCAATAAAATATATTCCGATTCTGTGTAAACAGTTTTTATTTTAGTCGTGGTTTAAACGTTGGTTTATTTCAAGAAGATAAAAAAATGATAATATGTAAAAGAAAATATATATAAATGATCTTGGTAAAAATATGTAGATTCATATTATATAAAGAGAGAGAAAAGCAATATTTATATTTCTAATAAGATGCAAAATACTATATGTCAGAATTCAGAAAGTGGAAATGGAATGCGAAATGTCTTTCACCTTTTTCATTATTCCGCGTTTATTTTTTTGCATTGTAGATTTAATATTATTTGGTGTGCTGGTTTCAAGTATACCTATCATACTCGTATCGTTTGGATTTTATCTTTTATTTCATTGTTAAAATGTTACATTTTTCATAAAATTTAAATGAATTAAGTGTTCAGTGAAAAAACTTTCAAAATTATAATTCTTGTATAAGTGTAATATGCTACCATAAAATCACGATATGATAACAATAATATTTATAATATAAATATTTATTTCATAATAATATTACAGGAATTTTATTCTCTTTAATTTAATTTTGGATATAATTCTATTTATTTATTGTATTAAAAAAACTATTTAGTAAATAGAGATTTAAAATAAGTTAAAGGTTTATAGTATCATACCATGCAGTTATTTGTTTATCTAGTATAGTATATAAGGTTAAACTTATTTCTGCTTCCAAAATAATTTATGCTACCTCGTTATAGTTTTGCATGAGAGATTAATTTGTATGTATGTATTACTTATAGGTTTATTTTATTTACACATGTATTTAAGTCAGTTATTTCTGATGAACCTAGTTATTAAGTTAATGCTATCGTAACCTGTAACTATATAATAAATATATTTTAAAACAAGAGTGTCAAATTGTATAAAAGACTCTGTACTGCGCAATATTTATAAGTTATAAAGTTAATTTTTTTAAAGTTTTTTTTTACTTATATTATTTGTCTTTATACACGAAAAGTTAATTCAAATATAATTATAAATGTTAGCTAATGAGTGAGGTACATCAATCATATTGTTTTATAATTATTTTTTTCCGTCGAAGTATCTCCAATGGAATATTTCTTCACTCTGTTATTCCTACGACTATTTAATATATATTATAAACTGAGTTTGTTGTTCCTTTTTTTTTTTTTTTTTTTTTTCTGTAACAGATTGTTGAATAAAGAATTATGCTAAAAAAAAAAAAAAATAAGAAAGTATTGATAGGTCATAATTAAAGCGCGGATTTTTATGCACTTAAAAGTATCGAAATATGCCATATAATATGCAGTAAAAATCATGAAAATATGCAGTCAAAATTATGAAAATATGCAAGAATTTTTTATTTATTTAAAATTTACAATAAAACTTATAATAATTAATTACTTAAATACTTAATAATAAAAAATTTAGGGAATTTTCTAAACTTAATTTATTTTTAAAATTGTATTTATTATTAAAATGAATAATCATATGCATTTCAAGTTTTTCTTCTGTGAAGCTGTATCGTTTATCGGTTTACATATTTTTAAAGACTGAGAACGAACGTTCGACGTCAACCGAAGTTATTGGGGCATATTTGAAGCAACTTAGTATTATCGGATCTTGATAAAGTTCTTTGAGCTGAACGTTTTCGCTTAATAATACTGAATTAATTTTTCGTAGAATTTTCAGACCTTCATTTTTATTGGAAAGCTCGTTTAATTTTGTTGTAAGTGTTACACCTTTCGATCCAGAAATAGAATGCATTTTTTCTTTCGTTTCGTCAATTATTGAAAAGCTTAGATGTAAAGTTATATTTCGAGTTTTCAGTTTTTTTTATGACTATCACTAAAAATGCCAAATGAGTAGATATAAATGTTAAATCATTCTACTTGTCAAAATATTATCTTATACACTTTTTTAAATTTTTTTAAATTTTCGCTTCAATATGCAATGAATTTTGAATTTTGCCAAAATATGCAAAAATATGCAATAACCTTTAAATATGCAGAAATATGCAAAAAAAGATTTCACCATTAGCTTCAAATTATGATGATTCGTGGAGATAACTGACAAAAATCCAAAAATATTAAAAGGAAAAAAATATGCAATTGCATAGAAATCCGCGCTCTAGTCATAATATACTCATAATTGACAAATTGACAGTATAGTTTACCCCTCTGCTTTTGGTGACATTGATATTTCCGAAAAAGTTGGATATGTTTGACAAGATATACATTAAATGCTATAGAATAATATTGATTGTTGAATTATACATTTGTTATATTAAATTAGGGGTCTCTAACTAGCCCGAGGGCTGATTTCGGTTCGTTTAGCTTTTCAAACCGGCCCGCCAAGTTAACTGATGTTTTGAAAATATTATTTATTTTTCATTAGTATTTCCTAGTAAAAGAAAAATAATAAAACCTTAAAATAAAATAAATGGTTTTTTGTTAATTGTCGATTA